GGATCTTCCCCCACCAGGTATTGAACCCGCGCCCCCTTCCCTGCTGCGTTGGGAATGCGCAGTCTTAACGACTGGACCGCCAGGGAAGTCCCCTTCCAGTTTATTTTTTGTTTTTTTTTTTGCGGTACGCGGGCCTGTCACTGTTGTGGCCTCTCCCATTGCAGAGCACAGGCTCCGGACGCGCAGGCTCAGCGGCCATGGCTCACGGGCCCAGCCGCTCCGCGGCATGTGGGATCTTCCCGGACCGGGGCACGAACCCGTGTCCCCTGCATCGGCAGGCGGACTCTCAACCACTGCGCCACCAGGGAAGCCCCCACTTCCAGTTTTTATTTGGTCCTTGCCTTCACTGGAGGACCCCATTTCTTGTCCTGTAACCTCCCCTAGCCTTTTTGCATTATCCTATCATAATGCTTTCTGGAAATAAAAAAAGTAACTTCCGCTCTAAAGATTTAAATCTTGAGTGCCAGCCAGCTGACTGATTAAACCTTCAGTTATGGTCTGGTAAAGTACAGAGATGTCACCCTCCCATTGTGGACTGTTGGCATTGCGAGTACCTTAGAATTTGCGTAACTCTACCTCCTTTGTTTTACAGAAGTGGAAATCGGAGAGCAGAGAAGTGACATGTGTTCCCCCAAATCATGTGGCCAAAGAGTAGTGGACCCCAGTATCCTCACTACCTTTTTTTTTTTTTAATAAATTTATTTATTTATGGCTGCATTGGGTCTTTGTTGCTGCATGCAGGCTTTCTCTAGTTGCAGTGAGTGTGGGCTTCTCACTGCGGTGGCTTCTCTTGTTGCGGAGCACGGGCTCTAGGTGCGCGAGCTTCAGTAGCTGTGGCGCAGGCTTAGTTGTTCCGCGGCATGTGGGATCTTCCCGGACCAGCGCTCGAACCCGTGTCGCCTGCGTTGGCCGGTGGATTCTTAACCACTGTGCCACCAGGGAAGCCCTCACTCCCTTTTTTGTTTCGTTTGTTTTTTTGGTTTTTGGCCACGCCATGCAGTTTGTGGGATCTTAGTTCCCTGACCAGGGATTGAACCCGGCCCCGGCAGTGAGAGCGCAGAGCCCTAACCACTGGATCACCAGGGAATTTCCCCAGATTGGCGTTCTTTCTGTTTCCTCCAACATCCTTACCTGTCTTCAATGATTCTGAAAGTGGTAGAAGCATTGCCCATTACTGGAGACTCAGGTTTGAGCAGGGAATAAATAAAGGACAAATGTCTTAGGGATCTGGGAAACGGGAGGGCCGCCCCTGGGAAGCTGAGGGCGCCAGGCTTCACGGTTGGGTTTAGACACTGACTCACCTCCCGCCCCGCTGGGAGGTTTCGGGGATCCCAGTGTTTCAGCTGCTGCAGCTCCACACTTGGCCTCTGACCACACAGGCCTTGCTGGAGTCATTGTGAAGGTTGATGAGGTAATCCTTGTAGAACTCTGTTAGCTCTGCGGACGAAAACCACAACCGTGTGTAGAAATGATGGAGTGCCCGCCATTCGGCCCACACTCTTCTACCCCAACTTGGTTTATCGGATGCGGCTATACTTCAGCCAGTTTAACATCTTATTGTCATCAGTTAGCTTAGCATTCTTGTCTTTTTTAAACCTACCCCACCCCTGCCGGTCATTCTTAACTTGGATGATTCAAAGGTGACTTATTCTAGTTCCTTGAGTTTCAAAATAACATAAGGTCTCCACCACCTCCTTAAGTCCTCTGTACCTTGGTTATTCCATTTGCCAAATGAGGAAAATAGGGCTGTGGTGAAGGTTAAAAAAGTTAATGTATGTGGAGCAGGGCCTGATACGCAGAAAGTGTCAATAAGCGTTAGCTCCTGTCAGTGTAACTAATTGAAAATGGATGACAGTATGTGAATACATGCCTTCAGTTAAAGAAGTAACGTGCACTTACTGTAGTGTTCAGTGTAGTGTAGTGTATAGTGTTTCTCTGTTTCCGAGGGGACGCAATGAAGATTTCTGTGGGCGAAGTACCAAGGCTTTGAGCCTACGAAGATGTAATCATGACAACGGGAGGAGAGCTGGGCTGCCCAGGCCCCGAGATCTCTCAGTTTTCCCATTCAAAATTTGCTTTCTCAGCTGTCTTGTTCGACACTGCAGCCTCAGCACCCAGGTACTCAATCAATATTGGCTTATGAATGAATGAATAAATGTATGAGTCTATCCAAAGACAGAGAAATGGAGGATGGCCCCAAGGAAGGAAGTCTGGCTGACACTGTGGATTTTCCAGGAGAAAGGAGATCAACTTTTAAAACAGAGAGGATGAGGAATAGACATGTAGGAATAGTGTAACTGTTGCCTGATGGCTAGATTCCAAGCCTGGAGATAAAAAATAGAGGGATGGCTGTGCAGTTGGACAAGTTGGCCCAAAGAATCATTGGGTTTTGTTTCTGTTTTTTAATGAAGTCAGATACCTCAAGAAGGCCGCGGAGAGCGTTTCTTTTTGACAGCGGTACTCTGCAGAGATTTCCAGTTGTTAAAAGGGATCATTCGGAAGGTATCACAAAGAGCACCCTATTAGAGTGTCTGTCTCCCTGAAAGTAAATCCTTCTCCTTTGTACTCAGGGTGTTTCTCTGTTAATAATAGCCTCCTACTATGACCCCAAGTTTCACAGCCTCCCTGAAAGTAAAAGCTGCTCTTTGTGTAGGCATTTTTTTGTTTTCCATTCCTACACACACTCCTACCCAATTGGGGTCATAGTTATGCCACCGCTACTAAATGCATCACCACTGAATCAAAGGACAAGCAGAACAACTGTCTGTGCTCCCTTCTCTTCCTCATTGTGTTTATTTAGGTTGAAATTGTTTTCCGTAAGATTCAACAAGCATTCACCCAGCACCCTCTGTGAGTGAAGCGCTGTGTTAGGTCACAAACACAGCATAGAGTTGGTTGGGCGTGGTTTCTGGCCTCGAGAATCTTGCATTGGTTTGCAGATGGTCACGGTGACTGGTGAAATGCTTTGGTGTCTCTCTTCAACCTTTCCAGTATATAGGTTTCTCTTAATTTGACTTGTCACTTTAGGATTTCATTGAAGGTGAACTTGAGTGCATTCGGTTTAACAGAGTCTCTACGAAACCCCCCTGATTCCTCTATCCGGATGTCCCCTCTGCACTTTATGTGCACTTACATCATTGTATTATATTTATTTATGTACATGTCAACCTCCATAATCTGGGGAGGGAACAGGCACAGGGAAAGGAACCCTGGGAGTGGAGCCAGAAGACCTGTGCTTGTTTTTGAAGCCAGCCCCAAGTATGAATCAGCCATGAAATCTTGCCCACGCAACTTAATCCCTCAGATCCTCAGTCCTGTATCTAGAATTGGAAGATAGTAATAACGCCTATTTCACAGCATGGATGTGAGAATTAAGGTAGTTATCATATGAATGGGCTGTGTCAACTATTATTCATATGCTAGTTTTATTATCTCCTGAATGATCTAGCAAAAGGCCTGGCCCATGAGAAATACTTTATTAATATTCATTCACTCATTGAAAAATGACATCAACCACGCTGTGGTGTATTATTCTTGTCACTCACGTTCTTTTTGTAGCCCCTATTGTTAGTAGGTTTATCTGTAATGCCCTACTAGGTTCCGGGGGAGTATTTGTAGGGATCAAAGGGGCCTGCTTGCCAGCGGAGCTGCCCTTTTAGAGAGTAGGGTCCGAAGCCCCCTCCCCACCCCCCATATTTCATATGTCCTGCTTCTATCTTAAGGGCAGGGAGTACCAGAGAAGCCCTAGTAGTTAAAGCATGGGCTTTGCAGTAAGACAGTCCTGGGTTCAAATCTTGGGTCAACCAGTTTACTAGTTGTGTGATCTGGGGTAATTTTCAAATTTTTCTGAGCTCTCCTTTTTTTGTATGTGTGTGAAATGAGGATAACACAGGGTTGGACAATTAAAAGTCAATAATGTATTGAAAGGAGATAATGTGAGGAATTCTGAGTTAAATAAGCTCAACAAGAGTGAACTACAATGATATCCATCCCGAGTCCCTGTACATTAATTGAGCAAGTACTATGGGTTGGGCCCTAGTACGGGTGCGGGAGATAGACGCCGTCATCAGTGGGAAGACAGACAAGTCCTAGATGATTGCATGTACAGTATGTGCAAGAGCTGGGACAGAACAAGAACACGGTGCTCTGGGAACAGGAGAGCACCTGCCTGGCAGCCCTGACCGGGAGGATCAAGAGCTGTCAGGGAAGGCTTCCAGGAGGAGGTGATTCCTGTGAGAGCCTTGCGGGCCGAGTAGGAGTGAGCCAAGGGGACAGAAGGAGTACGGCCGAGCCAGGACACTGACATCTGAGAAGACGCCCCTTCGGGAAAACGGAGCGGCTCTGACAAGATGCAGCCACGAGGGTTTGTGGATGCCAGGTCATGCGGTTGGCTCCGTGCAGGAACTGATGCTTTGTTTGGAGGCGCTGATGGATGTGCCCCCTCCCGAGAGAGGACATTTAAGTGGAGAGCATGGAGTAAAGTATCCTGAAGTCGTGAAATCAACACCGGTGCGGAGCTTCCCAGATCCTCAATCCTGGTCAAGCCCCACGTGTGACTTAATCACCCCACGTTAACCTCTACACCTTTGTGGTCAACCAGCGATCACACCCACCCCCTCGGGTTACTTCGAGGACTAGATGGAATTGTTTAGGCACAAGTTGGTAGCAAAGTGTGTGTCACCGAATAAGCATTTTACTAAACATCAGTTCTCTGTGCCTCAGCACTGCGTCGCGAAAACACGAAAGCCACGGCGAGGCCCGTCTCCCCCTCCCTCCCCGCCTCTCCAGCAGGGTCAGCGGCCGCCTCACGCCGGGCCAGGACGCCAGGATGTGCACTCGGCTGACCAGCAGAGCCACCGCCGCCACCGCGCATGCTCCGCGGGCCGCCTGGACCCCCCGCGGGGCGGCGGGCGGGGCGGACCGCGCGAGGACGCATGCGCAGACCCGCGCCGCCGCTCGGTCCAGTGCGGCAGCTGGAAAACCGCAGCTGCGGCGGCGGAGGCGGCTACGGCGCGGGCGGCCGCAGGGGAAGCGCGGGGCAGGGCTGGCCGGGCGGGGCCCGAGCTCCGGGCTGACGGCGTCCGCAAGGCGGAGGGCGCGGGGCGGCAGCGCGGCGGCGGCGGCGGGGAGCGGGCGCCAGGAGGGACGGCTGTCGGCGCCCGCGCCGCAGGGACTTTGACGTTCTCCGCGGCGGCTCCGGCTGCGCCGGGTGGGGGCCGCCCGAGTCCCCCGGCCGCGTCTCCGGCGAGTCCCAGCGGCCCCGCGCTCCGGCCGGCGGGCGCCCCGAGGGCAGGGCCGCGAGCGGAGGGCGGCGCTGCGGGCGGCGCGATGGCGGGACGGCCCCCGCGACGTGACCGCTGAGGACGCCCCCGCCGCGCCCGGGCCCGGCCGCGCCGAGACAAAGGGGAGGCGCCCGCACGCGCGCTCGCGGGAGGCTCGCGGGACGGCCGGACGCGGCGCCGCCTCATCCCGGGCCGGGCGCGCGGGGCCGATGCTCTGAGCGGCCCGGACCCCGGGCCCGGACCCAGACCCCGACCCCCACCCCCCAGCGCCTACCCCGCGGCCGGCAGCACCATGTGAAGGGCGGGCCGGCGCCCCGAGCGCGTGAAGATGGGGGATGCTGCGGACCCCCGGGACGGGAGGAGGACGTTCATTGTTCCAGCCATCAAGCCCTTCGACCACTATGACTTCTCCAGGGCCAAAATCGCCTGCAATCTGGCCTGGCTGGTGGCCAAGGCCTTCGGGACAGGTACGTGGTGCCCGCCCCCCATCCCTCCATCCCTCCCTCCCCGCAGGCTGCGCGCGTCCCCGTTTTGTTTCCCATCCTCTGGTCCCCTTCGCGCGTGTCTCCGCGCACAGGCTCGGGGACGCGATGGGAGAAGAAAGGAGGGGGGATAACGCAGGTTTGCTCTTCGGTTAGGAGCCCTTGATTTGGGCAGGTGGGATGCAGCCAGATTTCTTTTATTGGAGAGCAAAAGTGGGTGGTTTTTTTCCCCCCTCCCAGTGAGCAGTTTTGCCATGCTTTTGCGTGGGGTGGCTTTAATTTGTGGCGTTTTCCTCATTGCGCTGCATTCGTCCCCAGTCACAGTTGTGATTACACCGCCGAGACATCCGAGTTGGCTTCGTTATTATTGGGAGGCGGTGGACGGCGCACAGGCTACATTGATTTTGACATTTGTAGCCATGGCCGCGATTCAGGATCCGTGGACTGTACCGTGGCCTCTGTCGGAGCGCAGTATTAATTTTTGTCGTCATTTTTGAAGCCCGTGTCCTCCCGTACACGTTTCAGTCTCTATTAAACCAGCTATTTAATATTTAGCTTGCTGAGTGTCACGTCCTAGTTTTACTTCGTGTTCAGACACATTCCTTTTCCCAAACATTTTGGCTTCATAAATTAAGAAAAACAACAACTCCCTACTGTGTGATTTTTTTTTTTTTTTTTAATAGAAGAGTTTTTTGAGGGCATGTGCTGTTGACACAAATTGTATAGGACAGTAGGCGTCAGACACTCCCACCTTTACCCAGTCTTTGCAAAATGACAGGAAAAGGGCCTCCTGTTGTAATTCCTTAGCTGTTGCTTTAGGAGCCCATGTTGTGGAGCTCTGGAAGCATCACCTTCTCATGTGGAGATGCTCCTGGAAGGTAATTTAATCTGATAAGCTTGAGTTATTTTGTAAGATTTCTGTGGCCTAGTTCATAAAGATTGGATGTGTAAAATATTTATTGAGAAGTTTCTTAGTATTTACAGACTTTTCTCCGGATGCTAAATACAGGGTTTATTTTGTTTTGTTTTGTTTTTTTGAGGGGAAGAGGATGGCTTATTTCCAACTTTAGGAAATTTGTGGGTAAATGTTTTAATTCATTCTTACTGTTTAAACATACACAGCTGGATACATACACAGGTGACTATCAGGGCTGCATATTTAGTTAACTAGCAAATGAATCTCAGTGTTTAGAAAACTGTTTGAATTAGTTTTGAGGGAAACTTCACGTTACAGTGACTTTGTGCTTATGACAGCTTCTGTTTTATTTGAATTATCATGCTTTGATATTGAAGTAGAAAGATGTTAAAGGTTTTATTTATTTATTTATTTTTGGCTGCAGTGGGTCTTCGCTGCTGCGTGCGGGGTTTTCTCTAGTTGCGGCGAGCGGGGGCTACTCTTCGTTGCGGTGCGTGGGCTTCTCATTGCGGTGGCTTCTCTTTGTTGTGGAGCATGGGCTCTAGGTGCACGGGCTTCAGTAATTGTGGCGCGTGGGCTCAGTAGTTGTGGCGCGTGGGCTCAGTAGTTGTGGCGCGTGGGCTTAGTTGCTCCGCAGCATGTGGGACCTCCCTGGACCAGGGCTCAAACCCGCGTCCCCTGCATTGGCAGGTGGATTCTTAATCACTGTGCCACCAGGGAAGTCCCGATGTTAAAGGTTTTAAAACTAGCATCAGGAGTAAATATAACGAAAAATTTATTTTGAAATAATTTAGATTTTAAAGATTTCTTTGGAACTAAATGTGTAGAGTAACACCTCGGAGGAAACACAAAGTGTTAGTATATTTTTGTTTTCTGGCACCACTGATATCGGTGGTGAAAATAATTGATGTATTTTGGTTTTAACTTAAGCAGCATACTAAAGCTAATATCCGTTTAGAAGAGAAATGAAAGCTATTTAAGTTTTGTTTTCTTTTTAAAGAGTTTTTTTGATGTGAACCATTTTTTAAAGTCTTTATTGAATTTGTTACAATATTACTTCTGTTTTATGTTTTTGGTTTTTTGGCTGGGAGGCATGTGGGATCTCAGCTCCCCGACCAGGGATCGAACCTGCACCCCCTGCATTGGAAGGCGAAGTCTTAGCCAGTGGACTGCCAGGGAAGTCCCTATTTAAGTATCTAGAAAAGATGGAAAGAGTAAAATTGATATAGCGACCTCTGTGGAAAAGCAGTGTGTACAAAATGGAAGGCAGAGGGAATAGCAAAAATATTTTCTTTCCTTCTGAAACTGAGAGGAAACTTGTAGTACAGATGTCACAACGTTGCCCTGGATTCACAAGGGTTCCTAACCAGAAAACGGCCTACTCTCTGGATGCCTGTCAGGCAAGTTTACTAGATCCTGGACCACTTGAGAAACAAGTGTTGAACACACTTGGCGAAGAAGAGAAGAGGAAGGAGCAGAGTGTCCTGCAGTGGAATGTGTGCTGTGCCTGGGCACTGCGCTAGATGCTTTGCATTGTGTTGTATGTTCGGGACTACAGCAGCTCTGTGATGTAGGTAGCGTACTCCCCATTTAAAAAAGAGAGGACGCCAGTGCAGAGAGAGGTTAAACAACTTCCCCACGGTCACAGTTTTAGTACGGGCAGACATGAGCTTTGATTTGATTGTCTGCCTAAAGGGTATGGCGTTGGTGAGGGCAGGCATGCCTCTTGTATGCCCGATACCTCAAACACATTGCTTCGTTTATTCCCACAGCATCCCTCTAGAAAGATATTGTCCTCATTTTGCAGGTGAGGGAAGAAGCTTAGATGAATTTGCTCAAGGTTAAACATCTGGCGAGCGGTGGATCCTGCGGGCCAGTGCAGGTCTTTCTGACTCTTAAGTCTGCGCTGTTTACCCTGCTCTGCAGAGTAAGCCTCTCATCTGCCAGTGTGTAGAATGGGCATACAGCACGCGTTAGAAGTCTTATTGATTTATTTTCTTTAAAGGATGGGCAGATCTTAACACACTCTCAGATGGCTTAGATGAACGTTGTTGGTACTCGCAGTTGTCTTGGCAACAGTTAGGGTGGATGAAAGTCATATTCAAAATGGAATGAAAATCAAGCTCAGAAGACCTTAAGAGTCACTTAGTAACGAGAAATTATATTATTAAGAATGTTATCTTTGTGCATTCTGTTTATTCTTTAATCAACAGTATTTGAAAGTATAAATTTATATGGAGTGAGCTGAAAAAATGTCATGTTTCATTTCTTTTGACGTAAATTTTGTGCATTTGCCGCAGACACTGTTGTAAGGCAGATGTTAGTAGACAACGCATTTCAGAGGTGTTGCTGGTGGTGTTCAGCTAATCATTCAAAACATTAGCCCGAATTGAAGTTATGATTTACTAAAATCACTTCTTTAATGATGACATGTCCGGTCCTCAGTCACCAGTTTAGTCTTTTTCTGTGAGAAAGTTTCTAACTTTTGACATATTAAAAAGAAGTCAATTTAAAACCCTATGTTGGAAAATTCATTTAAAATGATAGCTAGAAATCAATTTTGGGGCACAGAATGAAGTTACTGAACTATAAAAAGTAAATAAAGCGCTAGCATTGTAGTACCTAGAAAGCAAATAGAGTATTTACTTAATTTGAAGTCTTCTGTCAGAGCTTGGAATCGTATTCTTTTTCTTTACGCTAAAAATATTCCACATAACTCAAATCTTCATAGTTTATTTTGTGGAAGAATGCAGGTACGGTTTTGATCAAATGAAGAATAAGTTTGTTTAGGTGAATTTTAATCTGTAAACCAAATAGATACTTTAAGCAAATTGCGGAAGAGGGGGAAGTTAAACTGTGCTGTGTCTGCTGTATTTGAACAGCTGAACCCATCTAGCAGTGATATTACTGAGGTTGCTTTAAGTGCTTTGGGGAAAATGGTGGGTGCAAACCCTTTTATGACCTTCTTCCTTACTAAATTCTTGCATTCGGAGGCAGCTCTGTGAGGCTTGCAGGATCTCAGCTCCCCAGTCAGGGATCGAACCCAGGCCATAGCAGTGAGAGCACTGAGTCCTAACCCCTGGACTGCCAGGGAGTTCCCAGCATTTGGAGTTCGTAACATGGAGCTCAAGGCCCAATTCCTAGTGTCACTTTGTCATTTCAACTTTATCAGCTACCATTCTCCCTTTCATACAGTGTAGTTTGATACAAACTACAAAACATAGAGCAGAATATAAAATCATTTGCTATTTTAAATACCCCTCATCTCACCCCTTTATATACCCCAACACGTTGCCTCAAAACTCCGCCTCACACCTGACTCTCATGCACGTGTGAGGGATGTGCTGTCAGCGGGCAGCACTCTGGTTAAGAGAGGCTGATTGCAGAGAGGCCTGTTTGGGAAGTCCTTGTAGGAGTCTGGGCAGGAGATGGCGAGAGCTTGAAGCAGCCGCGCGGAAATGCTGCTAATATTTACTGAGTACTTACGGTGTGTCGGTCACTCTCCACGTATCATCTCATTTTAATCCTCATGGCGGCCTCGAGGGGTGGAAACCGTCCATCACTCCAGTGTTACTGATGAGGGAATGAGGCCCAGAGGGTTAGGGACTCACGCAAAGCCACCCAGCTTATGGTGCTGTGCTCTGAACCTGATTTCAGGCCGCCCTCTTTACCACGTGCTGTTTGGGGAGAAGTCAAATTAATGGAAAAGAGGCAAAAGATAGAAAAAACATTGCGAAGGTAGAATCCCTAGTGTTTCTAAATGACTGAATTCGGGGTGCATGGGGGGAGGATGAGGCCCCCTGAGGTGGCAAGGAGAATGAGGTTACTTGAGCTTTTGAGATCTGGTGACTGGGAAGGGTGAGTCCAGTGCCGTTGGCAGAGATGGAGAGCAGCAAGTTAAATGGCAAGTCGGCTTTGTTCTGGGGAACCTTAAGCTTGATGTGTTGGCCAGATACCTTAGCTGAGAAATCTAGTAAGGTAGGTAGCTGTAAGTGTGGGTAGGGAGTATGATTGACCCGGTGAGGCTACACAATAGCACTTTGGGAATCTTCTGCGTATAAAGTGTGAT